AATTAACCACTAAGAAGAATATATGCAGTGTGTTATTTGTTGAAACTGCACTTCCGATTTGATATGAAACTGTCTCATTGCTGTTTATCAATAAAATTTTCAAATAAATTAAAAAAAAATTGATCACTCTCAGAAATATATTGAAACAAGAAAGTTTCAGAGGAATACATAATGTATAAAACATAAAACTAATAACAAAAAAAAAAAATTAAGATTGAAGCTGGGCACTGTGGCATAGTCCTGTAATCCCAGCACTAAGAGGGCTAAGGCAGGAGGATCTCCAGTTCAAAGCCAGCATGGACTACTTAGTGAAACCTTGTTGCAAAAAAAAAAAAAAAAGAGCAGGAAAGATAGCTCAGTGGCTTAAGTGCCTGCCTGGCAAGTGCAAGGTCCTCAGTTTGATGCCCAGTACCAAAAAAAAAAAAAGTTGTTATTCAAAAATAAATAAATAAACAAATAAATGTTTAGAAGATAGTTTTCCTAACAGTATACGTAAAGAGAAATGATTTGTGGGTGGCTGGAGAGATGGCTCAGTGGTCTAAAGCACCTACTTGGAATAAGCTTGGCAAAGCACAGGGACGGCAGTTCAATCCCCCAGCACCACATGCCAGCCAGCCGCGCCCCCTGGTGGGCTGAGCTGGCCACACACACACACACACACACACACACACACACTAAATAAATGTTAAAAAAAAGAGAAATGATTTGGGCTTCAGTTTGAAAAACATAAAAAATATGAAAATAATTTACTATATAACTTACAAAACTCTTACAAGGTGGTTACTTAAAAGACAAACAACAAATACCCTATGAGCGCACTTGCAAAAAAGAACAGAAATCTAAATGACAAAATGTTCAACAGTGTTTAAGCCAATCATACCTATAAGTTCAGGTGGGTTTCTTTCATTAAACCGCTCACAGAGACGAATGAATGTCTCAGTATTCTCAGTTGTGGGGCATTCACCATGTCTAGTAATATAGGAAAAAAAATTAATACAAAGATAACAAAGTTCAATGAAAGATTTCAATTAAAAGAGGCTTAACAAAGAACTTACCCTTTACACTGAAGTTTTATGTATTTGATTCCTTCTTTTTCTATGTCATTTCTGTCATAGAACCTTGAAGTATTTGTCAAGTCTACCAACAAGCTCATTTTAACCTTAAAAAAAGAACAAAAGCAAGTTTTTGTAACTAGTAACTGAATATATTCCAAATCAAGTTAACTAAATGGCAATACTGAGGTTTATTCATTCTCATGGACAAAAGTATCATGTTCACTCTGCCACTGAACAACCCACAGCAGACATAGTACTAGTCAAGCTTTCTTGGAGGTAACAGAACTCACCAGGTACTCAATAAAATAATGCCTACACAAAGGAACAGAAAATGAGCGAAACAGACTCCACCCTCAATGAGTCTACTCAAAAACTAAAACAGGGCCGGGGAGATGGCTCAGTAGAATAAGTGCTTGCCTGGCAAACACAAGGACCTGAGTTCAATCCCTGGTTCTGCAAAAAAAAAACTAAAATACACCATACTGTTATCTGCATCTATCTCTGCACCTATTTTTTCTGCACCTACATTTTTTTTTTTTTTTTTTGGTGGAACTGGGGATTGAACTCATGCCCTTGTGCTTGCCAGGGAAACGCTTATTCCACTGAGCCATCTCCCCAGACCCTCTGCACCTACATTTGTTAGACAAGAGCAGACATAATATGAGTATGAAATGCACACAGTTCTAGTGCAGGAACATAGCACCCCAGTATCCCAAAAAGCCACCATCACTCTGCTCATACTTACTGACTATACCACACTATATCACATACTGTAAATAGGAGACATTATACTCAAAACACAAATGGCTATGTGTATGCTTCCCTTTCTTTTTTTTTTTTAAATTATTTTTTATTTTATTTGTGTGTGTGTGTGTGTGTGTGTGTGTGTGTGGCCAGCTCAGCCCACCAGGGGGCGGGGCTGGCGGCATGTGGTGCTGGGGATTGAACCGTGGTCCCTGTGCTTTGCTATGCTTGTTCTAAGTAGGTGCTTTAGACCACTGAGCCATCTCACCAGCCCCGCTTCCCTTTCTTTCTTTTTTTTTTTTTTTTTTTTTAATGTATTTAGTACAGGGTCTACAGGGTCTCATTACACAGATCGGACTCGTAGTGATCCTCCTGTTTTTCAGCCTCCCAAGCACTGGGATTTCAGCATCCCATGCGCCACCACACCCAGTCTCAATTGATGTCTCAGTGCACCCCAGGGGGCGGGGCCAGCACAGTAGGCCATGGAACGAACCTCTGGACCCTGAGTCTACCTAAGCAGGCTCTCTTTCTATTGATTAAGAGTCCTTTTACTTTTTTTTTTTTTTTTTTTTTTTTTTGGCGGAACCAGAGATTCCTTCTACTTATTTTCTGAAAATGCACTGAAGTCTAAAACTAATACACTTCTAAAAGAAGCAAAGTTAAAATAAAAAGAGATTTGTAGAGTGTATAAAAAGCAATCTTTTGGGCCACAGAGATAGCTCAGCTGTCTAAGCACCTGCCTAAGCAAGTGCAAGGACCTGGGTTCAATCCCCAGTACTGCATGCCATGCCAGCCCTGCTGCCCCAAAGCATGCCGAGCCCACCACCAAGACCAGACATGGTGGCACATGTCTGTAATCCCAGTGCTGGGGAGGCTGAAACAGGAAGATCACTACAAGTCTGAGCTGCATAGTGGGACCAAAGAAATACATTTAAAAAAAAAAAAAGAAAGAAAGCAATCTCCTTCTCTTTCTGGGTATCACAGAGCACACTGTAATGATTATTTAAAAAAAAAAAAAAAAAAGAGGAAAAGAAAAACCCAACTTCATTTTTGGTGAAAAGCATATAAGATCTACATACACATTAGAAATACCTACGTCCTACTAAAAGGAACTATGCGCTACAGAAGCTTTGTGGGAAAGAAGAAAAGAGGAACATAGCCAGAGGTAGCAGAACTTTAAAAATGCCAAGAGAAATAACATATCCTATAAGAGTATAATCTATTTTTTAATCATTCATTCATTTGTTCATTTATTTACTTGTTTGATACAGGGCCTCACTATGCAGCTCGAACTCGTAGTGATCCTCTTATCTCAGCCTCCCCAGTGCTGGGATTACAGGCACGCACCACCACCCTCAATTTTGATACATAGCACACCTAGGATTCTGGGGCCCACACAGCATATGGTACCGGGATCAAACCCAGGTCCTTGTGCCTGCCAGGCAGGCACCTACACCGCCATGCTATCTCCCCAGCTCTAATTTGTTTTTTGAGACAGGGTCTCATTAAGTTGCACAAATGATCTTCAAATTTGTGATCTTCCTGCCTGGGTTTCCTGAATAGCAGGGTTTACAGGTATACAACACCATGCCCAGCTCCAACAGCTCTTGGTAAAGTGACAGACCCAGCTCTTGTCTGCATAGAGCTAAGGGACAGGAGACCACACAGAGTAAAAGCAAGTCAGTGAGGCATGAGCAATGGACGGAAGAAAAGCTAACGTGCCTTCATTGAGACTGGTCCTATGGAGGACGAAAAGAGGGAGACTTCGCCACCTCAGCTTTTTAAACTAGAATTCTGAAACAAGTGGATATATTGTATATTTTTTTAAATTTCAAAATAAAAATACAATAGAATCACATCTTAAGCAATTATAAGTTAAAAATAATTGGAGAGGGCAAAAGTATGCACAAAGCCAAGTGTGGGGGCAAACACCTATAATCCTAGCACTCATGGGCTGATTTCCATCAAATGTCAAATTTGAAGCCAACTTGTACTACACAGTAAATTCAAGGCAGCCTGAACTACTACACATAACCACTCAATAACAGCAGACAAGCCAGGCATGGTGGTGCAGACCTGAAATGGTGGTGCTGGGAGGCAAAGACAAGGAACACATGTCCAAAACCAGCCAGGGCAATGTAGTGACTTTGCAAAATTCTGTCTCCAAGTAAAAAATAAAAATAGAGCTGGGGATATAGGTTAGTCCAAAGGTTCTGAGTTCAGTCCTCAATACCACAGAGAAGAAGGAAGAAAAAAACAATACACAGCCATATTTTTGTATCTTATCTGGAGACTTAATATCCTCTCTCAATAAACCAATCACATCCAGTTTTTTTAGCTTTTCTTCCCAGGTAGAAACAAAAATCATCATATTTCTGTTAAACATTGAAGTCACTGGCTTGTATCCAAGGGGCCATGTAGTATAAAATATCTTGAAAAACTAGAATCACATACATCTTGGTAAGACAATCTAAGTAAAAAATTCATGCTTGCACTGAGCCCAAACAAAGGAACAGTTACCACATTCCGACACACACAGGACATCCATACTCTGGACACAACAGCAAGAGCAACAATCTGCACTTCTTAAACCATGGTATCTCTCTGCCTCCCTCCTTCTTGCCTCCCCCTCCCTCCCTCCTTCTAATTATTTAATGAGAGCCTGTTGGACTTGCCTCAAGAATGGTATACATAATGACTAGACACCACTGTTATGGGGGAAAAATGACAAAAACATTTAAATTTCACACATCACAAAAAAGCATCCTTCTAAAATATGCACTTCCACCTCCCACTGTGAGTTTTACTGACTGATTTTACATGGCACCAATATGTTGTCCACTCGGAGCCGGGGAGATGGCTCAGTGGAATAAGCGCTTCCCTGGCAAGCGCAAAGGCCTGAGTTCTATCCCCGGTTCTGCAAAAAAAAAAAAAAAAA